GGTCAAAATGTCAGAGTATCAAGTGTGTGCAGAAATTCATTTTTCCTGGCCAAGTTTCCTTTACCAAGTGATGTTTCAACTGCTTTGTGCCATAATTTCGTTAGTTTTAGCTCAATAGTTCGACACTGATTAATCACAGGTGGTTTGAATAGTGCATTAGCTTTTGTCCATTGATGCAGAAGAGGGACTATCATGTCATTTATGAGTTCTTTATCTGTATAGTTCCTTCTGTCCTTTGCATTTTTTTCTCGAAGGAGTAACCCTAATCTTAGCATGTCTCTCACTGTTGGAAGTTCTGATACAGGAAGCTCCTTCCCTTTACCAACTAGCAGGCTCAAGTGGGTTGACAACTGACTTCTTGTCTTCAATTTTGACATCTTCACACTATCTGACAAATAGAAAAATATTTCAATGTTTCATAATTCAATTGTTGTTTCAAAAAATATCAATTTGTTTATCAAAAATGCTGTAACAGAAATAACATAATAATTTCTTAGAACATAATGTTTTATACAATGATATAAGTAACTGCGACAATCAATATGCCCTACTTACAATAATTAAAATGTAGAATTCGTCTGGTAGAGTAGGTGCAAGTGCAATGAGAGCAAACCACCGTCTATGATATCTAGAAGGAGAGTGAGCCGGGCGCCTTATCCTCACGCTTGGTACAAGTCAAAACAAGAATTAAACTGTCCCACACGGAGAGCCTGTTCATGTTCATGTTCTGACATGCATATTGTACACAAGCTATAGAACCATAAAATACTCCATAATCCATATGCTTACATGAGATTAGTTAATATCAAGTGAATAATTCTAATCAAGTCTCATTAATTTTTTGAAATACTGATATTTGAAACTTTAAGGTATAATTGATGTAGGTGAGGGTTATTTCAATTCATTTTTGTTTGCTAATCTCAAGTTTAGACATAAAGAGGCACAATATTTTGACTACCAAATTTGATTTTTAACATGTTGACAAAATTGACACACCCTAATATATAGCTTAGTGCAGTGTTCATTTAAAGAAAATATTCTTTATTTACAGCAATTAAAATTTTAGTGTTGAAATTGTTTTTTAATCCAGCATGGGTCCCAAGAAATCAAGAAAAGCTATTTCAATCCAGGTGAAACAGGAAATTATTAAGAAACATGAACAAGGCATTAGAACAAATGTGCTTAGCAAAGAATATGGCATGTCGACATCAATTGTGTTGACAATTCTTTCACTGAAAGACAAATTCAAGGAAGTGAAAGTGAGAGACAAATCTACCAGAGTGTTTAAAGGTAGATCCGTAATAGCAGAAACAGAGAGGTTACTTTTCATTTGGATTAGGGAAAACAAATGAATATACTGTATATACAGTCATGAGCCGGCTACCGTCCAACCAAACAGCGTCCGATCGCATATACGTCCGTGCCCCCCCCCCCCCAAAAAAATCCGTGACGCCTGCTGGACCACCACTCCACGACCCCCTGACGGAGACACGATGATCCTCCCCATACTGGTCAGATATTATGTGTTAAAGGAATATGCTTCCTTCCTCAGGCTTTTTTTTGCCTACAGGTGTAATGTTAACCTACATCTATTGAGGATAAAATCTTTCACCTTCAAATTGACAATAACACATTTGCTGTAATCAGACATATCTAGTTGCCTCAACAATTGCACCCCCAGTTGCAATTGGGGTTGCAATTTCAAATTCTGTGGCATTACTAAGAATATTGAAGTCTCTGGTGCACTCTAAAATTAAGAGAGAAAACGAAGGACTCGGGCGTCCTGATGTGAGAGAAAACGGACTCGTATGATGGGGGACCAAATAAAAAAAGCATAGCTACATGTTTTGTGGACTACAGTATTAAGCGTACCCTTTTCATCACTTTGTAATAAACCTAGCCATTCCTATGTGTGTATGATATTTACCATAACATTATACTGTATATATATTTAGTGGGTATAAATGGTTGTAAAATAGGAAACTTGGGGTTGGGTCTTGGGTGCCTGGAACCAATTAGAATAAATCCCATAGGTTCTGTACTTTCGTTATCAGCGGGGTCCCAATTAGGCGCGATAACCAAGGGATGACTGTACTGTACTGTATATACTTGTGACACTGGCCAGTTGCTTCTGGTGTTATGATATAGGGGTACCAAGTGACAGCACTAGGATCCCGCTTCCTCTATCAAGGAATAAACAATTAAAATTTAAATTGAAAAAAAAACATTCAAATAATGGGACCTAGCGAACCTAGATGGACCTAGAGCGGGCACGGTCACTATGAATCGCGTATTCTTATAGATTGTGCGGCCAGGCGTACGTTACCTAGTGAATTTAGTCAATATTGTACAGTAACAATGGACCTAAGTGCAAACCTGTATTGTACATGTACTAAATGATTACGGTACTAAAATTGTTATGGCTATTGCAAATATAGCTTGTTTATACAGGTATTCAAATAAATTACTATCTTACAAGAATCCCTCCAATGTAAGTTATATTCACCCAGGTCGTTTGGGTGGCAAATTATGAGAAGAGCTTAGTCACTCTTAAGTAATGATAAATAAACACGCAGGCCTTCAGCACCAACTGTCAAATCTTATCTCAAATAAATAAACAAACAAACGCCAGACATTCTGTCACCTCACCTCCCCCCCCTCTTCCCACCAGACAAAAGATTGGTGATTTCTTTATGTTTATTTTATATAATATCTCAGACTAAAGTTAGGATAATATAATTTGCATTGCTGAAATCCTTGCAAGACAGAGATTAATTTGAATATAAGCGTCATATATTTTGCTCAAGATATAAAAAATGTAGTACATTAGTGTACAATACTGTAGTACATTTTATAAAAAGTTTTTCAACTGTATTTTTGGGTAGATTTACATAAATTTCTTCATTTATTTTCATCCATTTACATGCACACACCATACTAAAAGAAACGTAAAAGAAATAAATGACCTTAGTGCAAAGCTGGAGTGCACATGTACTAATTTGATTACAGTACTAAAATTGTTTTGTCTAGTGCAAATTATAGCATGTTTATATTCAAATTAATCAGTATAAGTATATATATATATATATATATATATATATATATATATATATATATATATATATATATATATATATATATATATATATATATATATATATATATATATATATACATATACAGTATTACCCCGCTTTACATGTTTCACTTTCCGTTTCACGATTTTTCATTTACAAGGTACCTCGCCAGAACCGGACTTTCACTTTCCGTGGTGCATTTACTCATATACGCCGGTGATGTATAATTTTTTATTTTGCTCATAAAATTCATACAAATTACCCGGCCAGAATATAATTTACATTGCTGGAATTCTTACAATATGATGATCATTTTTAATATAAACATCATGGATTTTGCATTAGACATACAAATTTTAGATCTTATGTAATAATTTGGTTTACACAAAGCAAATATTTTATCATTTGTGCAAAATATATGAAGTTTACATTCAAAATATTCCCTGACCTGCAAGGAATCCAGAAATGTCAATGATATTATCCTAACTTTAGTCTGAGTTATTATTTATTACTAAAAATGTAAAGCTACTGTTTTCTCCCAAATATTTCTCTGGTAGGGAGGGACCGACCCAGCTAGGGTGGAGGTGGGGTATTTTGATTGACAGATAGTGTTCTTGAAGAATATATATTTTTTTTATTATCTGAAGATATTTGGTTTTGCTCATAAAATTCATACAAATTACCCGGCCAGAATATAATTTACATTGCTGGAATTCTTACAATATGATGATCATTTTGAATATAAACATCATGGATTTTGCATTAGACATACAAATTTTAGATCTATTGTAATAATTTGGTTTACACAAAGCAAATATTTTATCTTTTGTGCAAAATATATGAAGTTTACATTCAAAATATTCCCTGACCTGCAAGGAATCCAGAAATGTCAATTATATTATCCTAACTTTAGTCTGAGGTATTATTTATTACTAAACGTTAAAATCCAGTGTTTTCACCCAAACATTTCTCAGAGAGGTAGGAGCCAGTGAGCTGGGAAGAGGGGGGAGGGAGTTGAGTCCATTATTTGAATGGACATTAACTTGGTGACTGTATTTCTCTTAAATATTTATTGTGTGTGCATACCATCATAAAGTTAAGATGTTATTTTTACTAGAACATAGGTATTGTGTCGGAAAAAGTGGAGTTTGGTGGTCGGGCCAGTCTCTATTGGAATTAATCCCATATGTTCTGTTGTTCTTTCATGATTACCCAGGGGTTCAGTGTGCATAAATCAGTGCTACTGTGTGTATATATATATATATATATATATATATATATATATAACATATATATATATATATATATATATATATATATATATATATATATATATATATATATATATATATTTCATGTAAATCCACAATGAAAACGTGGATAAGATAAATCTTGATAAAATCACACGTTGTTTCCATTTTTCCGTGTGATTTTATCAAGAATATATATATATATATATATATATATATATATATATATATATATATATATAATAAAAATCAACGCCTCACTAGGCTAATGAAATATATATATATATATATATATATATATATATATATATATATATATATATAATCAACGCCTCAGCCGGCCGGGCTAATGAAATATATATATATATATATATATATATATATATATATATATATATATATATATTCATTGTGACTTATTAACGTGTGTGTGTGTGTAATATATATATATATATATATATATATATATATATATATATATATATATATATATATATATATATATATATATATATATATATATAATTTTTTTTTTTTTTTATCAAGAACTCTTTAATAATACAAAAATTGCATCATCAGCCCAATAACTAGCCAAAATGAATTGCAAATAATGAAAAAAATTTGAGGATCTCTCTTTCTCACATTGTCTCTGAATTTGTCCATTTAACTCCAGGTATGGGCAGTCGTCCTTCTTTCCATGGTTTTCATCCTGGCTACCACTCTGTTCACCCTGCTAGGCAACACTGCCCCATCTCTATCACAACAGTAAGTGCTATTACCCAGGAGTACCAGACACGTGGATTTTCAAATGTTCATACATAATTTTCTTCTACCAGACAACATGAGAATATGTTTAGTGGCTGTTTGGTTATATAGACCAGTTGAGATGAAAATTGGCAGAGATATACTTTGCTACAGGACCCACACATAAGATTCCATTTAGTTATATCAGGTTAGAGTTCACAAACATACATAATTTGTGGATTTTGTTCCACTAAGTCTGCTATATTACAATCAATATACAGAACCTGGAAATTGATGAAAGGTTTAAGTAGTATAGGTATAGATAGTTATAGAATTTTCCAGAATGTATTTTTGGCCACTTTATGAGTGTCAAAGGTCACCAAATACAGTCGTGGTGTCTTGACCCCATTAACTTGATGTACTGTACTTCAACCAGCCTTCCCAGGACTCGGTAGACAGCTGCCTTATTAGTCTCTAGACAGCAGATAGAGAGGTGTAGTTTTTTTGTCTTTTTGATTATTTCACAGAGGTCAGCAGTCACCAAAGAGTCACATGGGACTGAACAGGAGAAATGTTATGCTCGCTGCAAGTGTTGCTTGCTTTGATCATTATATACTGTATATAAACTACACTAAAAAATATATGAAAAGAAAGACTCTACCTGAGGTTCCCAGGATGCTTTTTCCCTTTGATAAGAAATTGATATTGTATTTGTTTAGTTTTATCTTTTAACTTTACAGTAGTGTAAAGTACCTGTACATACATTGTTTTTATTGCTTCTTATTTATTTATAGCTAATCAAAATTGAAAACACAATTTACACGAGGTCAACTTTAAGCTATCGGAAGCAAAGCCATGATTAACTGCACATTGTTATGATAGTGTGGTCCAACTTAGTACAGGTTGACAACCCCTTATCCAAGGATAAGGATTTCAGATAAGGGGTTGTCAACTTGTATTCAGTGTACTATGTTTACAATGTGTCTAACAAACCATCAAGCCATAAAAAAGCGGTTTTTTTTTACCGTTTTTGTGATTAAGTCCAGAATGCTCAGTCTAACTTTATACCTTGGTATGTAAATACCTAGCATTAACTCGCCAGGCCAACATACAGGCAATTAAAACATCTAATAATACCTAAATACGTAATATTAGGAGGACACGTCTCTACCTGGCATTTAATTGCAATGCTCAAAGCACCCCCCATCACACGCATTGCTACCGTCACCTCTTGCCCTAGAGCAAGCAATAAACAAATGTCAAGGTAGCATTCTGGACTATACAGTATCACAAAAACTATTTTTTAGAGAAAGACAGATTTTTGTTCAACCCAGAATGCGACGTCTAGCTTTGATTACCTGGGCAGGAGGTGGAGAGGGAGGTGACTTTGCGTATAAGGCTCCACTAACTTAGGTCCAGATTATAATTATGAACTTTTTTAAATATTTTCCAATATTAGGAACATTTACCGGAAGGTAAAATGTTAATTTACATATCCCAACTAGGATACTCACTTTACTCTGATGAGGAGGAAGAAGGTCCTGGTTGTGGAGATTAACTAGGTGGGGGAGGGGACCCCAGCACCACCACATGTGAAGCATCTCTCAGAGATAGATGAAGATAGCTGTTTTGAAGATTTCCAAAAGCCCACTTCTTTAATCTGACTGAGGCTCATATACCACAGAAAGGCCACAGACCCTGCATATTTCCTGGTGTCATGTGTCAAAAATTTCTTGTCAGGGTCTTCTTTGTTGAAGTTACAGTGTTCATTTTTGGTGGATATCAACGAAATATGATGCGAGAGGCTCAGACAATGACACAAACGATGTTGCTCTTTCCAGTATATTTTCGGGACCATCCGTAAAAACAAAATCACAAAACAAACATAACATGCGCATTCAGAGTGGCGCTTTATTCCACAACTAAAATAAAACATAATAGAACATATTCACATCAACATGAGGTAACCTAGTTTATATCTAACATGCTTGACTCACTAGGAGGCAATTTCTTACCATCCTGTGATGAGAATACATAGGGGCCTCGATTAGGGAATCTGGTTAACCATTCTTGAAGATTCTTAACTGGGCACAATAAATGAGGAACCCTTGTCTCATCTATTAGCCATTTTATCCTGATAGGTTGAGCTTGAAAATCCTCCCTTTCATTTTTGCTTAGAATCTCCGTAGGAAAAAGCGTGACATCTTCCTCAGAAAATACCAATAATGATGGATTATTGGAAATTGAAATCAGCTCACTGATTCTCATACCTGTTGCTATTGCTAGAAGGAAGGCTGCCTTCTGGAGCAATCTGTCCTTGTTCACATTTATATTGTAATTAGGCCCCATAAGAAATTTAGTAAATTTATCTAGAGACCAAGGAGGGGTTCTCTTCGGCTGAGGGGGTCTCTGAATGAAAAAGGACGGTCTGAGCATTGATAAATTCTTGGGTTCAAAGTAATATTAAAACCCCTCGCCAGACGGTCAACCAATGCTGATTTATAAGATGCAATTGTTGAACTTTGAAGGCCTTTAACTCTGAACAGAAAATTAAAAAATTCTAACACCACTGTTTCTGACAATGTGATTGGAGTCATTAACCTGATAAATTGTTGAAAAAGTTTCCAAGCTTTACCCTATTGCATAGAAGTTTGAGGTCTATTGCACTGCGCACATCATTGTCAATCCTAAAAACCCCATTTAATTCATATTACACTGTATAACATTCAAATCCACCGCACTTGTAGAACCTCAGAAAACGGGAAACATTGATAAAGGATAACTCACCTACTCAATGTTACTAGACCATGTGTTGTATTGTACCCAGGTACAGTTATATAATATTAATTGTATGTATTCATAGCATTAAGGAGAACTCAGGGTATCCATAAGATGAATGTTAAAGTCCAGTTGAGCCGGACTAGTGTACTGTAGGACTAAGTGTGGATCAGGGTTTGAAGGTCATACTATTTACGTCTGTGAACGTGTAGCGAACATAACTTCCACAGATATCATGTGAAAATACATGAGAACAATGATCTGGAAAAGGGATAAATGTATCAGAACTATGTGAGGTGTTGGAAGTGACCCAGAAACTATACTTGAAAGGAAATATCTTGTATGCGTCGGTATGAACTTAATACACCTCGTATCCTCACGTGACATATACCCATGACAGTTACAGTGATCAGAGAATCTTATGTCTGTGTTCAAATAGTGCAATGTGTGAGAGGAGGATCCCTAATTACAGTTTGAAGTGAAGTTGATACACCCCCGCCATGAACATTCAGCCTTTGTTTTAAGGCGCGTCCTGTACCCGCCTCCGGTGTGCCGTGTGGATATTATAACCCAATGAATTTACCCATGAATTAGCAAACCAGAACCTTACCTTAGTTTGTACTTAATGGTTAAAATATGTGTTTATGAGGCATGGGTGACAATATGCCGAAAAGTGTTCAGGCGAGAACCGTAAGAAATAAAAGTAAAAATTAAAGATTGGAAACTGTAGGCCTACGCAGTGACGAGCGGCAGGGCACTGCACTCAGTCCCTTTCATTCTACCGTCACCTCAGGTCAGTGTCCTATCGGGCTATATCCCGCCCTATAATTAAGGCTTATATAGAAGTTTATAGAAGTTATTACAGTTTAAAGCTTTGCCTGATGTATAAGTGTAATAGTAATGTGTTAGGGGGTGTGATAACCGCCCGTCAGGCATTATTTCTCAGTCCCTTTCGTTCTACCGTCACCTCAGGTTCCATGCGGTCGGAGTGCCTTGCTGCACGGCAGCCATTATCCCTATGAGCGTCCCAACAGGTGGTGACTACTCCCAGCTATGGCAATCCACTGTGAACCGGTGGATTCCCCGCACACCACTCCAAATGAGTAAGAACAAATAAGGAAACGCTTGAGAAACTCTGCGGTCGTCACTTGGAGCGACCTATAATACCAGGCGTAGAAATAGTACTGGTATGTCTCTGGGTGAAGCCCTCGTCTTTACCCACCGAGGGCGGTGTGCGAACGAGGTGCCTGTTGTGTATACCTAAAGGTCACAAGGAGTCCCATACCTGCAGGGGTGGAGTGGAACATGTGTGTTATCTGGAATGAAATGCGCAGGGCTTCCATACACAACAAAGTCTGTATAGTAGGCGACTTTAACCTTGGCCAAATAGATTGGACTGACCTTACGGGTAACTCAGAATCAGAGGATTTTCTCGAGACGATCCAGAACTGTTTCCTAAGTCAACATATAACCGAACCCACACGGGGTAATAATATACTGGATTTAGTTCTGTCGAACAGAGAAAACCTCATTAGCAATGTCGAGGTAGGGAACGAACTTGCAAACAGCGATCACAAAGAAATTCGATTCCAGTTAGATTTTCAGGGCAGACGTAAGGAAAATTCCACTAAAGTACCAGATTTCAGAAGGGCAAACTTTGAAAGTTTAAAGAGGCAGCTGAGAGAGGGGGTGTCGCGCTTGGCCGTGAACCTGACAGATGACACCGACCTGATATCGAGATCTGAGATTGCCGAGTTCCACGACAATTTAAATAGTGAGTTACTTAATGCACAAAGGCAGAACATACCATACAAAAAACTCAGATCACACAACAATGACCCTAAATGGATAAATAATTATTTAAAGAACAACATTGGCCAAAGGAAGGCTATAGGTAGAAGGATAAATCGTGGCGAAATTCACCTCCGGGACTATTATAGGGTATTGGCAAGTAGGGTTAAAACCGAGATAAGGAAAGCAAAGAGGAATAATGAGGTAAAGATAGCAAGGGAGGCAAAGACAAACCCCAAAGGATTCTACCAAATGTATCAAACTAAAACACGAGAAAAGATTGGACCAATACGGTCAGACTCCGGCGAGCTCACTGATAACGACGGAGAAATGAGCAATAATTTGAATAAATATTTTTCAACAGTTTTCACCGCCGAAAATTTAAACATGATACCCGAGGCACCGACTCTATTCAGAGATAGTGAAGAAAACAAATTAAGTGAGATAGTAGTGACTAGTAACGATGTTAGTAAGCAAATAGACAAACTAAAGCCTAATAAGTCATCTGGTCCCGATGAGACATTTGCCAGAGTATTAAAGGAATGTAAGGAAGAGCTTAGTATGCCCTTAGCAAAGTTGTTTAACATGTCCTTAAAAACAGGTGTAGTACCAGAATCCTGGAGGATAGCGAATGTAATACCGATTTTCAAGAAGGGGGATAGATCACTATCCTCTGACTACCGCCCAATCAGTCTAACATCAATAGTAGGCAAATTACTGGAAGCAATCATTTCAAACTCTATTCGAAATCACCTGGAAAAGCACCGATTGATCAATGATCCCCAGCATGGCTTCACAAGCGGACGTTCTTGCCTAACTAATCTATTAACATTCTTTTCATCAGTTTTCGAATCGGTGGACGGGGGGCACAATTATGATGTGGTATATCTCGACTTTAGCAAAGCCTTCGGCAGAGTTCCCCACGAAAGACTAATTAGAAAGGTAGAAGCTCATGGCATCAAAGGTAGTATCCTTAAATGGATTAGGGCGTGGTTACAGGACAGGAAACAGCGAGTGAGCATTAACGGCACTAAGTCCCATTGGAGCAACGTCACAAGTGGAGTTCCCCAAGGCTCAGTACTTGGACCATTATTGTTTATTATATACATAAACGACATAGATATCGGCATAGACAGCAACATAAGTAAATTTGCTGATGACACTAAAATAGGACGTGTAATTAAATCTGACGAGGACTCGCAAAACTACAGGAAGATCTAAACAAATTTTTCGAATGGTCTGAAAAATGGCAGATGAAATTCAACGTCGACAAATGTAAAGTACTCAGTATAGGAGATGTAAACAGGGAAACCAGATACCAGATGAACAACGATGCCATAGAGAAATCCGACTGCGAGAGAGATTTAGGAGTAATGATAAGTAGGAACCTTAAGCCAAGTAAACAATGTGTTTTTGCTCGTAACAAGGCTAATAAAGTATTTGGGTTCATACAAAGGAGTGTTAGTTACAAGACTAGTGAGGTCATCCTAAAACTGTATCTTGCTCTTGTGAGACCACACCTGGATTACGCAGTTCAGTTCTGGTCACCGTATTACAGAATGGATATAGAATCCTTGGAAAGAATTCAGAGGAGAATGACAAGACTAATCCCGGGCATTAGGAACCTTGAGTATAGAGACAGGTTAAAGCATCTTAATTTGCACTCCCTTGAGAGACGTAGAGTGAGGGGCGACCTGATAGAGGTGTATAAGTGGAAGGCAGGGCTAAACAAAGGGGACATTACAAAGGTACTCAAATTATCCACCCAGGAGCGAACTCGTAACAATGGTTTTAAATTAGACAAATTTAGATTTAGGCGTGAAATAGGTAAACACTGGTTTGGAAACAGAGTAGTGGATGAATGGAACAAGTTACCAAATATCATCATTAACTCGAATACGCTGAATTGCTTCAAACATAGGTTGGATGCTCATATGAGCAATAGGGGTTGGGTGTAAACGGGACTGCCCAGTATGGGCCAATAGGCCCGCTGCAGTTTCCTCCATTCTTATGTTCTGATGCTACTATGTATGATAACCGACGGTGCTATATTCCATACAAGTGGAGCAGTCTGATGTGTTAAGGACTAGTGTAAGAGGGACTGACCGAGGTAAGGTGGTCACAGATTGTTATGCAATAAGTATGTGGATGACACGCCAATAATGTAAGACGTCTGGTGCCCATCTGGGTAACCAACATTTTCGTTGTTCTTCGGAGGAAGACCAATTCATTTGTATGTTTTTTTTCCAGTATGCTTTATAAGGAATACATTTTCTTAAGACATGTCATGGTTTCACCCTTCTTCCCCCTTATCGATCTGGTCAATGGAAAACCTAACCCAATGCCTAGTCCACTCTGCACGCTACCTAACGAGCTACATGCTATCCAGAGGGGGTCTGGTGGCAGCGACCCTAAGAAATTAAGATTAGAGTTAAGTATTTACCCTTGGTATTAATGACCCCCAGAATCTGGCAGTATACTATGACCTGCTATCACTTGGTTAACTATATTGGAATTAACCAACAATCTATATAAACATCTTTTGAGAAACTCTAAGAGCGAAGTGCCAAGGATATCTCGAACTGGTCTAGACATCCTTGTTGCAATTGTAGTGGATGCGGGCACCATTCTAACAGATCCAGACACCATGGTTGTAGGATCTAATATGGTGCAATTAAGAGGACCTTTCCGTGGGAGGATCTGAGTTACTGAACCACTTTGGGCAACATTTTCACAGGTGGGAACAGATAGATTGAATTCCAATGGTTCCAATCTATGAGTAGAGCATTTCCTAAAAGATTCGATCGTTCCTGAGATGCTTAAGTTGGCATCTTGTGATTGTTTAGTGATGCAAAGAGATCTATTTGTGGAGTCCCAAACCTCCTCACTAGACTCTTGAACTGCGATATCTTTAGGGACTATTCTGTTTCCGTCGATACTGGCCTGAGATGGGACAACTCATCTGCCCAATTGTTTGTACTCCTGGTATGTGAGTTGCTTTGAGGTAAAGTGTTTGTGTTACACAAACTTTGAAAAAATTTTCCGACAGTTTTAGAAGAGGCCAAGATCTGGTTGAGCCTCGATGATTGGAACAAAACACTGCCGCTCTGTTGTCCATGGCAAACAGGATCGTCATATTTTTTAAATTTGGGTTTGCCAACAAAAGTAATAGGACTATTGCTAATTCTTTTACGTTTATGTGTTTGTCCCAAAGGGAGTTGCTCCACTTCCCTTGACGGAACTCTCCTTTTGAGGAATGGTATCCCCATCCTATTTTGGAGCATCCGTACAAACGACCAAGTCTGTTTAAGGGGGAACCCAAGGAGATGAACCGATTAGATTGTCCAAATTTGTTCACCATGACAGATGATTCTTAATCTAAATAGGGAGAGAAGAAGCAATATTTTTGTTTCTGAAGCAACTTTGACCCCAGGTGAGTTAGTTGCTTCTTCCTTAACTTGCCCAAAGGAACTACTGTGGTGGCAAAATTCAACAGACTCAGTAGTTTATCCAAGTCGTGCCAAGAAACCTCTTGCTTTACACAAAAGGCTTCTACTAGGTTTATCACATCTGTTACCTTTGCTTCTGGTAGACTGACTGACTGCCGATTGGTGTCGCAATGGAGACCTAACTAATTCAATTTCTGACATGGTAGGAAATTTGATTTGATCTGGTGTATCTTTAATCCTAGGTTTTAAAATAGTACTAGTACATTGGGTTCGCCCTTTGACAGTCTAACCTTTTGTGAGCTCCAAAGTGTTATCATGGGCCTGATATCTTACACTTCCCAGCACTTGTCACTTTCACAGCAAATTTCAGTCATGTCTTTCACAGATTTGCAATAATGTCAAGAAGATATGTAGCTTATAATGTAAAAAAATTCAATATTAAATATACAGTGTACAGCTAATGTATTGCACACATTTCAGTGGTAATGGCGATCATGTGCAGTGTGATGGAGTAGCCAGGGGTGCAAAAGACGAGTCTACCGTTCAGTGGAGCGTTGAGTGGGCAATCATTTCTACCATCTCCTTACTGCTGTGGCAGAGTAAGCCTAAGTGAAAGAGTCGATAAAAAAAGATATTGATCATGGTCCAGGTTTTTGTTTACATACCTCACCTTTAAACTCTATCTTTTCATTCTTTCAAGTCAGTGTATGTTTACATTTTTGTATGAGTGGGTCAGTGAACAGGTAAAAAAGAAATTGTATAAATTATCCAGTTCAGAATAATATTTATTTTTACCCAAATTTTTTGTCAGAAGATGCTAGTTCAAGGTTCTATTTAATGATAAGTTTAAACACAAAACTTCCAGTAGACTTTGTATGTAACAAACAGGATGATAGGTTTTGTTTCATTGGCAGCACCACCTGTTCACTTGGTCATCTTAAAGCATACTGCCCAGTTATAGGGTCACTAATCCAAGTAGGAGAACTTTACTGGCTTACTTTTACTTTTTTCCTCTTCACCACTGATTGGCTCGTTAGCCGCTTGGACGATCGGTCACGTCTCTGTTACGCACTGTTGGCAAGTACTGGGCATGCACCGGCTCCTGAATGTACCTGAACCTGCTCCAGTGTTGGTCAAGTCTGGTTTTGAAAGAGCTCACACTCGGTGCCGTCACAACACTTTCTGGGAGATTGTTCCAAGAATTCACAACTCTCACTCCGATAAAGTTTGCCCTAACAATTTTCTGGACCTGCGGCTTCTTCAATCTTGAGCTGTGATCCCTTGTGGGGCGAGCGTCCGCCAGCTCCAAGTAAGGACACTCGACTGAGTACTGCCCCTTGAGATGCTTATTCACCTCAATTAGGTCGCTCCTTGCCCGTCTGTAGTATAAGCTAGGCAAGTTCAGGCGCTCCAATCTCTCAGGGTAGTTGAGGTGCCGAAGTGCAGGCACCAGTCTGGTGGCCCTCCTTTGAACATTTTCAACCAACTGACAGTCCCTAGCATATCTCGGGGACCAGACAGGGTGACATTACTCCAGATGGGGTAGAACTTCACTCTTGAAGATCGTTACGAGGGACGGACCGTCTAGATATCTGAACGACCTTCTTATAAGACCCAATAATTTATTTGCCTGATTTACCTTCTCGCAATGGCCCGAGAACTTCAGCTCATTGTCAACATGCACACCTATGTCCTTCTCACATTCACTCTCAAATAGTGCAGTTTCTTCATCCCATTTGGACATACGATACGCCTCCTTACCGTTGGTACGCCCCAGGTGCATCCTCTTAAACTTGGTGACATTGAATCTCAGCAGCCATTTCTTCGACCATTCTTGGAGTTCACAGAGATCCTTCTGCAGCTCTTCACAGTCTGCATGGTTCTTGATTTCCCGAAATAACTTGGCGTCATCGACAAACATTTGTATGGAGGAGTGTACAACGTCAGGCATGTCATTTATGAAACAAACAAACAAACAACAGCGGGCCCAATACACTGCCCTGTGGTACCCCGCTTGTGATGATGATTTTGTACCATTAATCTCCACACACTGCTTGCGGTCATGTAGAAAGTTTTCTATCCACACTAGGACATTTCCCCGAATTCTGTACCCTTTCAGTTTGATTTTCAGCTTTTCATGGGGTACTCTGTCGAAAGCCTTGGCAAAATCTAGGTATATATTGTCGATATTACCACCCCTTTCCAGAATATGGGTCCAAATATCCATTACCTTGAACAATTGTGTTAAGCAGGAGTGCCCCGGCATAAAACCGCGTTGGCAATCCTTTACAAGGTTGTTTCGCAGTAGATGTTCCATAGTGGCATCTCTGATAATACTCTCAAGTACTTTACATATTATGCTGGTCAGGCTCACCGGTCTACAATTGTTCGTGGAGTGACGATCGCCCGTCTTGAATAAGGACTTACAAAAGCCACTTTACATTCACTGGGAACCTTTTGTTCATCCAGGCATGTACAAAACAGGGCCTTCAGGGGCTCGGCAAGCTCGTTGCACAACTCTCTTAGCACTCTAGGATGCACCGTGTCAGGTCTATGAACACAATGTGGGTCAGTGCTGTGTCGAACCGTCTGTCCTCAAACGCAGGAAGGTTAATCGCATCCTCTCTTGTGAACACCGAGGAAAAGCTATTTTTTTGTGATATAGTCCAGAATGCGACGTCTACCTTTATACCTGGGTATGTAAATGCGTAGCCTTAACTCGCCAGGTCAACATACAGTCAATTAAAACATCTAATAATTACTTAAATACGTAATATTAGGAGAACACGTCGCTAGCTAGCATTTAATTGCAATTCTCAAAACCCCCCTCTTTATGTTTTCTCAATAAGGGATGGTAAGAAATTATCTCCTAGTCAATTGACAAAATCCTTATCTCAATTAGTGAATCAAGCAGACCCTGGCAAGAAATTTTTGGCACATGACACTAGGAAATATGCAGGGTCTGTGGCCTTTCCACGGCATATGAGTCTCAGTAAGATCAAGGAAATGGGCTTTTGGAGATCTTCAAAAACTTTCAAAGACAGCTATCTTCATATATCTCTGAGATGCTTCAAATGTGGTGGTGCTGGGTTCCCCTCCCCCACTTAGTCAATCTCCACTACCAGGACCTTCTTCCTCATCAGAATAAAGTGAGTATCCTTTTTGTGTAAATTAACATTTTACCTCCCGGTAAATGTTCCTAATTTTGGAAATATTCCAAACGGTTTATAATATAATCTGGACCTCAGTCAGCAGAGCCTTGTATGCAAAGTCACCCCCCTCTCCACCTCCTGCTCGGGTATACTTGCTGACGTCGCATTCAGAGCATTGAACAAAAAGATCTTTTTTTCTAAAAACCAGTTTTTGTGGTATAGCTCGGAATGCGACGTCCATAACCCACACATCTCCACCCCTCGAGAGTTGACTTTTATATACTGCTCGCTCTGAGGCAAGAGATGAGGTTCGTGATGCGTATAGTGGATTGTGAAGGAGGGGTTTTGAGAATTGCAATTAATTGCCAGGTAGAGACGTGTCGTCCTAATATTACTTATTAAGTAATTATTAGATGTTTTAATTGCCTGTATGTTGGCCTGGCAAATTGGCTAGGAATTAACATACCTAGGTAACATATGCTGACGTCGCATTCCGAGCTATATCACAAAAACTGGTTTTTAGAAAAAAACGGTTTTTTTTAACGGCTTTTTTTTTAGCGGCTTTTTGTTCAATCCAGAATGCGACGTCTAGCTTTGAATACCCGAGCAGGAGGTGGAGAGGGAGGTGACTTTGCGTATAAGGCTCCGCTAGCTTAGGTCCAGATTATAATTATAAACTTTTGGAATATTTTCGAATACTAGGAACATTTACCGGAAGGTAAAATGTTAATTTACATATCCCAATTAGGATAATCACTTTACTCTGATGAGGAGGAAGAAGGTCCTGGTTGTGGAGATTATCTAGGTGGGGGAGGGGACCCCAGTACCACCACATGTGAAGCATCTTTCAGAGATAGATGAAGATAGCTGTTTTGAAAGGTTTTTGAAGATTTCCAAAAGCTCACTTCTTTGATCTGACTGAGGCTCTGATACCACAGAAAAGCCACAGACCCTGCATATTTCCTGGTGCCATGTGCCAAAAATTTCTTGCCAGGGTCTGCTTGATTCACTAACTGAGATAAATATTTTGTCATTTCACTAGGAGACAATTTCTTACCATCCTGTTATGATAATACATAGGGGCCTCGATTAGGGAATCCAGTTAACCATTCTTGAAGATTCCTGTTAGGTTGAGCTTGAAAATTCTTCCTTTCATTTTTTCTTAGGATATCCGTAGGAAAAAGCGTGACATCTTCCTCAGAAAATACCAGTAATGATGGATTATTGGAAATTGAAATCAGCTCACTGATTCTCATACCTGTTGCTATTGCTAGAAGGAAGGCTGCCTTCTGGAGCAATCTGTCCTGGTTCAGATTTATATTATACTTAGGCCCCATAAGAAATTTAGTAACTTTTTCTAGAGACCAAAGTGGGATTCGCTTAGGTCGAGGGGGTCTCTGAATGAAAAAGGACGATCTGAGCATTTGGTAAATTCTTGGGTTCAAAGTAATGTTAAAACCCCACACCAGAGGGTCAACCAGTGCTGATTTATAAGGTGCAATTGTAGAACCTTGAAGACCTTTTACTCAACAGAAAATCTAAAAATTCTAACACCACTGTTTCCGAGAATGTTATTGGAGTCATTAACCTGATAAATTGTTGAAAAAGTTCCAAGCTTTCTCATATTGCATAGAAGTTTGGGGTCTATGACCTGCTTTCACTTGGTTAACTATATTGGAATTACCCAACAATCTATTTAAACATCTTTTGAGAAACTCCAAGTGTGAATTGCCAAGGATATCTCGAACTAAGGGTGCAGTACCTTGTCTAGACATCCTTGTTGAAATTGTAGTGGATGCGGGCATCATTCTAACAGATCACTACACCACGGTTGTAGGACCCAATATGGTGCAATTAAGAGGACCTTTCCTTGGAAGGAGCTGAGTTTGTGAACCACTTTGAGCAACATTTTCAAAGGTGGGAACAGATAGATTGAATTCCAACGGTTCCAATCTATGAGTAGAGCATTTTCTAAAAGATTCGATCGTTCCAGAGATGCTTAAGTTGGCATCTTGTGATTGTTTTGTGAGGCAAAGAGATCTATTTGTGGAGACCCAAACCTCCTCACTAGACTATTGAACTTCGATATCTTTAGGGACCATTCTGTTTCCGTCGATACTGGCCTGAGACGAGACAACTCATCTGCCCAATTGTTTTGTACTCCTGGTATGTGAGTTGCTTTGAGGTAAAGTGTTTGTGATACACAAACTTTGAAAAATTTTTCTGACAGTTTTAGAAGGGGCCAAGATCTGGTTGAGCCTCGATGATTGGAACAAAACACTGCCGCTCTGTTGTCCATGGCAAACAGGATCGTCATATTTTTTAAATTTGGGTTTGCCAACAAAAGTAATAGGACTACTGCTAATTCTTTTACGTTTATGAGTTTGTCCCAAAGGGAGTTGCTCCACTTCCCTTGACGGAACTCTCCTTTTGAGGAATGGTATCCCCATCCTATTTTGGAGCATCCGTACAAACTACCAAGTCTGTTTGAGGGGGAACCGAGGGAGAAGAACCGATTAGAGTGTCCAACTTTGTCCACCATGACAGATGATTCTTGATCTGAATAGGGAGAGAAAAAGCAATATTTTTGTTTCTGAAGCAACTTTGACCCCAGGTGAGTTAGTTGCTTCTTCCTTAACTTGCCCAAAGGAACTACTATGGTGACAAAATTCAACAGACCCAGTAGTTTATCCCAATCGTGCCAAGAAACCTCTTGCCTTACACAAAAGGTTTCTACTTGATTTATCACATCTGTTACTTTTGCTTATGGTAGACTGACTGACTGCTGATTGGTATCCCAATGGAGACCTAATCAATCCAATTTCTGACATGGTATCTTTAATCCTAGGTTTTGAAATAGTACTAGTGTACGTTGGGTCGCCCTTTGACAATCTTCAAAAGAGTTTCCCATTATCAGCCAATCGTCTAGATAAGCAAAAGTCCTTATGCCCTCCTTCACAAGGATCTCTGGGGATGGTTGCCATACATACGGGTATTGAGCTTCCTTGTATCACTCAAGGTACACATGACAGGTACCCATCTCAAACTCTGCTCTTGCTAGGTAGGTGGGAGCTGTCCCGGGCATCCATACCAGTAATTTGTTCTCGCGCCTGTTAACAGTAAGTTGCTTAAAGGAGCGACTGTGAAGCATTACAAATAACACCATCATTTTCTTTTATCCTGGGTGTTGATGTGTGACGGTCCAGGGTTCATACTGGAGGTTGCATAGTGGCTAAGCAGTACATGTCACACCAGTTGGGTTCCTCACAGTAGAGCCATGGTGGCTGCTAGGCCACACATTCCTCCTACTGTCTTGGGTACTCGGCCTACGCTCTGGGGCGGGCACCTGTGTTGGTGAGATGCGAGCCTGGACTGAGAATATTGCCTGAGGGGCTTTTGTATCACTGCACACTATTACAACTCTATTAATTCACTTTATAACATTAGGTAAGGTTTTAAGATGTCTAATAAATGCTAGATAGGCCTCTTTAAGTACTCTGGGGTAGCACGAGCTGTAGGACTAACCTGTGTTGGCGAGATGCGAGCCTGGACCGAGAATGTGGCGCAGTGTTTCGCCCTCACTAGGCCAATGGATGCTAATTCTTAATTTTCACGTTGATATTATTCGAGTCCTCATACATACTCTTTCCTATATATTGTGACTTTATGCCTTATAATTACATGCCTTAATTCTAGATTCCATACAAAAGTAAGTGTCTGGTTTGCCAGTTCCTGGGGGAATTACTAGGGCTATATAATTAACTCAAAACTGTAGCCCGGGGCAGAATGGGCACCATGTGGCTGAGAAAAACCTTGGTTCTTGGCTTGGGTATCCCCTTCACTTAAATCCCTAAGTATGGTTCATTCCCCACACTTTGCAATGTTCAACACATTCATAAGGTTCTCTAATCATTGTATTTTCTGTGGTTATTCGTCACATGGGGTAACGATGTGTATTAAGCTCACCGAGGTACACTTCACCTATGTCTGATACATTTATCCTTTTTCCAGATCATTGTTCCCATATGTTTTCATCTGATACCCGAGGTAGCTCTGTTCACTAATCGTACACAGATGTAAATACGATGACCGTGATACACAGTACAGTAGTACCCCGATTTACGCGGTCAATCGAACCTACAGGGTACCGCGTTAAGTGAAATCCGCGTAAATGGAATAACAGAACATATGGGATTAATTCCAATAGAGACTGGCCCGACCCCAAACTCCACTTTTTGACGACACACAACTATGTTGTAGTAAAAATTTTATCTTAACTTTATAATGGTATGCACATACAAGTAATATAGAAGAGGTTAGGTTAGGAAAAATAAAGGTTAAGTTAGGAAAAATAAAGGTTAGGTTAGGAAAACTAAAAGTTAGGTGTAACACTTACGTTAGTAGGAGGCTGGTTCCAAGGCAGAGGGCAGATTACTGGCCCTCAGGTGAATCACCATTACTAGGTGCATCACCATCACTATCAGTTACAGTTGTCAGGGCTTCCCTGACAAATTCCTCAAAGTCACCTTCACTGCCACTGGCTCTGGCTGGCTGTGGTGGGTTGCGGCAGAGGCGGTTAGGGATGCATGGCCAATCACAGTCCGATACGTCATATGACGTCAGTGATAACGCAACAGAGACATGCACTGCGCAACCTTACCACGCGGCTTGCCCAGGCGGAGGCGGGAGCAGGCAGGTGGGGCGAATCTAAAAATAGCGTCGTATATGGATATATGAACCGCGTAAAGTGAAACTGCGTAAAGCGGGGTAATACTGTACAGTCAACCCTCACTTTATGCGGTCCCACATTCCGCGTTTCCACGTTTAAGCGGTGCCCTGCCGGAACCTAACATGCTCACATTCCGCGGTGCATGTACCCCATTACGCGGAGAGCGGCTGGCGAGCCGCACCATTTTTGGATCCAAACCTCCCGCCATCCGCCATGTTGTTTAAGCGGCGCGAACATGGTGCGCACAAGGTCGGCCAGTCATCAAAACATTACCAGTTCTTCACCCGCCACCCACCACAGCTGGCCCAAGTCAGTGATAGTGATAATTATAGTGAGGATATGGACTTATATGAACTTTGGGGGGTTTGGCAAAGAGGCCCTGCAAGCCTCTGTGGTGGATAGTGATACAATTGATACAAGTGATATAGGTGAGGGCCAATAATCTGCCCTCTGCCTCGGAACCAACCGCCCATCCCCGTGTGCCCAGCCATCTTTTCTACTAATGTAAGTGTTAAAAAACCTAATATTATTGATATTTCTCTTAATTATTAATTGTGTGTGCATACCATCATAAAGTTAAGATAATATTTTTACTACAACATAGTTGTGTGTCGTCAAAAAGTGAAGTTTGGGGGTCGGCCCGGACTCTATTTCAATTAATCCCATATGTTATGTTATTCACTTTACGCGTTCCTCACTTTCCGCGGCACCCTGTGGGTTACATTAACCGCGTAAAGTGAGGGTTGACTGTACACTTATTCCCTTATAGTACACTAGTCCATATCAATTGGACCTTTCCAATCATCCAATAGATAACTTGTGTGTTCCTTAATACTATCAGTTCATACACTTAATGTTATATGTCCGTACATTGGTACAATTCATATAGTACTGTAAAACGACATACAGCATGTTAGTCACCCCTTTCCAGAGGCTTACCATTTTCTGACTCTCTCCAAGTGTGGTGAATTTGAATGTTATGCAGCTGTATTATGAATTGGAGAGAGATTAAGGATGACCGTGATATGTGCAGTACAAAGGTATGGAAAACATTTATATTTTAGGGGCACACAACTATAAGATCATAAAGACAAACTAAATGCAACAAATTAAGTTGTTAACTAAGCCAGACCATCAAGTTCTAAGCACTCTGGTTTCTCATAAAATATAAAATTATTACTATACTGTACTGCATGTATTTCATTTACTGGTACAGTACTGTATATTTATTGTTGGCTTCATTATTATGTATTTGTAATAATAGTCTAGGAAAATGTGCTTCAATTTATGAATTTGGATTTCCAAAATGTATTCAGGAACAGAACTTATTTGTAAATTGAGGACTACCTATACATCTGTGGCACCAAGTTACAGGGAATCTCTTCCACAGACACACCACAAATGCCGAAGAGGTGGTCAGTGCATGTGGTGGTTGGGCTGTGGATGCTAACAGGCTTCATCCTGGGTACCACCTACCGCTCTAACCTGAAAGCCATGTTGATTAGCCCGAGGATTGTGATACCCTTCAACACCATTCAGGAGCTGGTCAACAGCAAGATAACTCTCTTTGTCCCAGACTCCAACAGTTTACACCAGGCTATGATGGTACATTAACTGTCCAGGACATAAACTGAACAGGGAAGCTAACTAACTAGACAAGTCCAGGTTGACAACCCTTTATCCGAAAACCGAAAGTTTTTTGTGGAGCAAATTTTTTTTTCTTTTTTTTTAAATAGGGATTAGCCCACCCAGGCACAGGTGACTGACCCACATCGGGGCCTGGGGGGCGAAAATGTAATAATAATTATAATAATAAGAATAAATATTCATAGTAAATAAATTTTATACTAAAAAAAAATACACAAAAATAAAATACTGTAATAATAATAATAAAATAATAATAATAAAGAAATACAAGAATGAAAAAAGGTCAAAAGTGAGAAACACGACCTAGTCCTATGAATAATAATAATAATAATTATTATTATTATTATTGTTGTTATTATTATTATTATTATTATTATTATTATTATTATTATTATTATTATTATTATTATTATTATTATTATAATTATAATTATAATTATAATTATATTTTAGCCCCCCAGATCCCAATGTGGGTGAATCGGCTGCTTGTCCAATTAACCAGTCCGTTCACATATATTTACATTTGGGTTTTAAGTAACGAAACCCAAACGATAGTTCCTTTGTTTTATTATAAAAGGTTGTATATATAAATCCTGAGTGTATGTCAACCGTAAGTCTCACTGTCTAGGAGTGAATGAGAAGGGGACAGCGTTTATGTATTATAAACGTTTGGTCACGTCCTTACGATATGAGTTGAGGTGAGCTACTGAAGCTTAGGGGCATCGCAGTGCGTGCTTACAGAAATGCTGAGCTATACTTTTATCCTCTTCGCCACTGATCGGCTTGTTAGCCGCTTGGGCGATCGGTCACGTCTCTTTTCATTTATATTCTTCACCAAAAGATCGGCTCGCTAGCCGCCCGGGCGATCGGTCACGTTTCTGTCACGCACTCTTGGCAAATACTGGGCATGCACCGGCTCCTGAATGTACCTGAACCCGCTCCAGTGTTGGTCAAGTCTTCTCTTGAAAGAGCTCACACTCGGTGCCGTCACAACACTCTCTGGTAGATTGTTCCAAGAGTTTACAACCCTCACTCCGAAAAAGTTTGCCCTCACGGTTTTCTGGACTTGCGGCTTCTTCAATCTTGAGCTGTGACTCCTTGTGGGGCGAGCGTCCGCCAGCTCCAAGTAAGGTCACTCAACTGAGTAGTGCCCCCTGAGATGCTTATACACCTCAACTAGGTCCCCCCTTGCCCGTCTGTAGTATAAGCTAGGCAAGTTCAGGCGCTCCAATCTCTCAGGGTAGCTGAGGTGCCGAAGTGCAGGCACCAGTCTGGTGGACCTCCTTTGAGCATTTTCAACTAACTGACAGTCCCTAGGATATCTCGGGGACCAGATGGGGTGACAGTACTCCAGATGGGGAAGCACTTCACTCTTGAAGATCGTCACGAGGGACGGACCGTCTAGATATCTGAACGACCTTCTTATAAGACCCAATAATTTATTTGCCTGATTTACCTTCTTCTCACAATGGCCCGAGAACTTCAGCTCATTGTCAACATACACACCTAGGTTCTTCTCACACATAGTCTCAACTAGTGCAGTTTCTTCATCCCGTTGGGACATATGATACGCCTCCTTACCGTTGGTACTCCCCAGGTGCATCCTCTTACACTTCGTGACATTGAATCTCAGCAGCCATTTCTTCGACCATTCCTGGAGCCCACAGAGGTCCTTCTGCAGCTCTTCACAGTCCGCTTGGTTCTTAATTTCCCGAAATAACTTGCCATCATCGGCAAACATTTGTATGGAGGAGTGTACAACGTCAGGCATGTCATTTATGAAACAAACAAACAACAGCGGGCCCAATACACTGCCTTGTGGTACCCCACTTGTTACAGGTACAGATGACGATTTCGTGCCATTAATCACCACACACTGCTTGCTGTCATGTAGAAAGTCTTTTATCCACGCTAGGACATTTCCCCGAATTCCGTACCCTTCCAGTTTGATTTTCAGCCTTTCGTGGGGTACACTGTCGAAAGCTTTGACAAAATCTAGGTAAATATTGTCGATATTACCACCCCGTTCTAGAATATGGGTCCAAATATCCAATACCTTGAGCAATTGTGTTAAACAAGAGCGCCCCGGCATAAAACCGTGTTGGCAATCTTTTACAAGGTTGTTTCGTAATAGATGTTCCATCGCGGCATCTCTGATAATACCGGTCTATAGTTGTTCGTAGAGTGACTATCGCCCTTCTTGAAGATAGGACTCACATAAGCCACTTTCCATTCACTGGGGACCATCTGTTCATCCAGGCATTTACAAAACAGAATCTTCAGGGGCTCTGCAAGCTCGTTCCACAGCTCTCTTAGCACTCTAGGATGCACCATGTCAGGTCCTGGACTCTTATGGACCTTTAGCCTGGACAGTTTATTTCTAATACCCTCTTCTGTGAACACAATGTGGGTCAGTGCTGTGTCGAACCGTCTGTCCTCAAACGCAGGAAGGTTACTCGCATCCTCTCTTGTGAACACTGAGGAAAAGAAGCTGTTCAATGCCTCAGCTTTATCCTGGTCAGAATCTGCGTAACTACCATCTTCAAGCCTCAGGTCTGATACTCCTACTCGCGTTTTCAATTTCGACTTTGCATAGCGGTAAAACGCCTTTGGGTTTGACTTGACCTCGCGTGCAACCAGCCTCTGGAACTCCTTTTCAGCCCTCCTACACTCTATCTTTGCTTGGATTCTGGCTCTTGCATACATCCTCCTGTCCTGCTCATCGTTTGACCCAACCCACGTCTTGAATTTCTGGGTTTTCTTCTTAATTTTGTCGACCGCCGCATGGTTCATGTGTAGGAATCCCCTCGTATTCTTAGAAGCACTGGGTTTGGTCTTGGGTATATATTTATCGATCAAATGGGTCATTTTACTAGTTATGATATTCAGCGTAGTGTCTGCGTTCTTGTACCTTAATAAGTCAGGTCAGTTGATACCCCTCATCTCTTCCCTCATCCCATTGTAATTTCCCTTGTAATATTTGCACCTTGGCCTGGCCTTATCTTGAACTAGGTAACAGTTAAATCTGAATGACAACACTGTATGGTGACTGGTGCCAACTGGGGCAAGGTGTTCCAGTTTGGCCACCACACCCTCCTCGTTTGTTATGATGAGGTCAAGTGGCTTGGGTGTTTGCTCCCCTCTGTAATGTGTCGGGTCTCTCACATGTTGGAACAGAAAATTATCTCTCAGAGTTTCTACAAAAAGAGTAGCAGGGTTATTCAAGTCATTCGGGGTGGACTCGTTTCTCCAGTCGATGTCGCCATAGTTAAAGTCCCCCATGATAAGGAGGTGGCTAGGGTTGAGCATCGCCGCATTGTTTATTAAGGTTCTTAAGTTCCTTTGATTTAGTGGGCCACAATTTGGGGATCTGTAGATACACCCGACGATAAGTAAGTCCCCTCCCTTTAATTTAATTTTACACCACTTGGACTCTTCAAAAACATCCTCTCCCTGTACCCTCGCCTAGCTGGCTCTAAGGTCTTGCCTAGCGTAGATAACCACACCCCTCCTGCAGGATTATTGAGTTAGGTTCGTAAATGAGTCCTATCCAGCAATACTGAACTCACATTCCTCTGGGTCGATTCTCCTGTTCTTGTACAACAGTTCTACAACTCCTACAATATCTGGTTGGTGTACTCTTAGTAGTGTTTCAAACTCCTCTCTCTTATCAAGGAACGTGTCAGTATTAGTGTACATGACATTCAAGCCAGAATTTGTTCTCGGTAACGTCTCTGCTCTTAGTAATAAACCCGCTCCACCCACATTCTCAGAAGCTGCAGCATTTGCTAAGTACACTGTATTTTGCAGGGTGTGGTTAGAAATGTCATTGTTTACACGGCGCTCGTTCCCTCCTGTCCGGTAGGCTGAGCTGGTGCCGCCTCCCGGGTGGGGGGTTGAGTGGGTGGAGGGTGCACTGCTGCCCCCTGGCCCTGTGTCGGCACACTTGTTTCCACTACCCTCCCCCTGAGTATAACCCATGTACACCTGTCCCCGTTCCTCCTCGACTCCTCCCTCTTCTGCTTCAAGTCCTGCAGGAGCTTCTTGTGCTGTTCCCTCTGCATTACCGTGCGGTCTGGGTGAATGAATACATCCCGAAATGCCTCGCTCCTTGCTAAGTTTTTTGCCTGCCGAATAACTTGCCATTTCTCCTCCTCACTCACTAGTGTGATCCTGAGGGGGCGAGGCTTAGCCCCCTGCTTTTGTCCCAGCCTCCTCACATCCTGAGGGGTTGCTGGAATCTTCAGAACCTCTGTGCAAATATTTTGAAACAGCACCTTATCGTGTGTTTCCTTACTCACAGTTCCCTCCGCCTGGCTCTCGGTGACTCCAAAAACTATTACATCGTTCCTGCGCTGGAGCCGTTCCTGGTGTTCCTCCTCTCCCCTAACAGTAGGTCCGTTAATTTTCATTTCTTCGACACTCTTCTTCAAAGTCCCAATCTGCTGTAGAACCTGTACTGATTCTGCATTACTCTCCGCCCCCCCCCGTGGCCCTCCTAATACGTCAGCATAACTCCTCTTAGCAACCACCTCCATTCTATTAGCTACTTCCTCAGTCTTAGCAAGGATCTCTTTCCCAACTTGCTCCAGTTTGTCAACCAGCAGGGCTCCTGCTTCATCTATTTTCGTCCCTAGAGAACTCGTTCCCTTATGGCTTGCAATCGCTTCATTCACCTTGACTATGCAGCCAGAGCAATACCAGCAACAGCCATCATGCTTTACGGCAGTTAGTAACTTCCTAAACGTTGCATTAGTCAGGCCTGTATCCTCCATATCCGACGTCTCCCTGCAGCTATGGGTCTCGCCCTCTTGGGTGAGTTGCCCGCTCACGTGTCCATATCATGTCTTACTCATAGACAGTGGAAAGTTACAGGGTGGTGAATCTGAATATAATATCAGATGTATTGACCCATTTATATAATATGTTCTGTTGATGAGACAGGGGCCTATTACATGGGTCAGTGACCTGTGCTCGGGTGGGCTGACCCTTGTATTAAAAAAAATAAAAATAACCTAACCATTCTGAAATCCGAAATGCGTCTGGTCCCAAGGATTTCGGATAAGGGATTGTCAACCTGTAATTTAATTAACACATGTGCATCTCTCTCTCTCTCTCCTCTTTCTCCCAAGAAACTATGAATATTTTATTCCTAATTATATATCATGGTCAATTTTGCATCAAAAACCTTTGAGGATAATATGATGGGCAAAATCCCGAACATTTTAAGATAATATATTTAAAATTCCACCCTAATCGGTGGACGATGTGATATGAACAAGAACCTGTCACAAAAAGAACAGAGGTCCAATGGAGCTTTTTGTACTTCATGACATGAACACTGTGAATAATAGTCGTCAGTAGATTCAATAGACATACTGTAGTGTTGAGAACAGGAAGCAGGTAAGTGTGACAAAGGGTAATGCTATAAGTATGCCTATAGGTTGGGCCATAAGTGTATGCAAAAGCATTCTAGTACATTTTAATAAGGTTACTTTTATAATTGCCTTTAATGCCTATTAAAAAAATCCAGTGCTCTCAAATTTCATTTACAAAACAATATAATCTACAAACCATGATTTGAGTTCTTTAAGCATCCTATTTTACATGCAAATTCTACTTTTAAAATTGTGTGCACTCTTTATGTTTGGAGTGGTAGTGGAGGACTGACCTGAGGTTTACCCCTGACAGGCATCATCCCCGGACTCACCCTTGGGCAAGTTGCGTCCACAAAGCGTATTTCACCAAGATTATATCCAAGCCATCAAGGACTTGTTTGCCGGATCCATTGCTGCTAGCTCCCCCAGCTTGGTTACTACTAATCTTGAACACACTTACTTCAGCCAGGTGTTGATATAGCTTTTTGATTCTTTGATGTAGAGGATCAAGTGTTATTTGTCCTGATGCATGTATCAGTTATTTTAATTTTTGATAGAAAACATTACATATTCTTTTATTGTATCACTGACTAGTAGAGTCATAAGTGAGTGCTTATAATATTTATCTGATTCACAGTGTCATGAGAATAAACTCAAAACAAAGACAGCTACACAAGCACTCATCTATCTGGCTTACTGAGACACTCATTTTGTTTCAAAGTGTGTGTGTATTCCTCCGACGGATTTCTTTGCCAACTCTTTCTTAATATACAGTATAGGTAAATATATAAGGCATTGTGGAAGGTATTTTTACTTCAAGAAAAAAGGCTTATTACATTGGACAGAGACGAGAGATAAAATGATACTTAATGTTACAGACTGGTCGTTGCCAATTATACATCATGTCTGAGAATCTTCTGCAGATGCCACCCTTAGGTATAGGTTTCCCGAAAGGCTCACCACTCAAGCCGAAGTTTGATATCGCGTAAGTATGTCTGGCCATACCAGTGCTATTACAGGGCATTGTATTGATGTATGTTGTTAGTTAGAATTTGTTACCTCATCTGTTGGTGGGATGGGTCATCTCGTCTAAAGAAGATAACTGACCAATAGTCAAAGAAACAGAATGCTTGTTTTGTTATGAAGGAACACTCTTTCTTTGGCTTCACAATTGTAACATTCCTTACAGAAATTATGACATTGTGCATGGAACTTGTAATCAAGGAATGTGAAGACACACCACCAGTGCTGCTCAGGGATCAATAATATTTAAAAGTTAAGAATGAGGTCAGTTCAGTAAGTTGATTGTACCGGACTCGCTAGCTGAGAATCAAACTGGAAGGGCACGGGATTCTGGGAAGTGTCAACAACTTGAGTCCTGTTGCTCTTTCAGATTTAACTGTTACTTGGTTCATGACAAAACCAGGTCCAAGTTCAAATATTACAAAGGAAAATATGACGGGATGAGGGAGTAGATGAGTAACCACTGGCCTGACTTACTGAGGAATAAGAACGCAGATGCTATGCTGAATATCATAGCCAGTAAAGTGAACCATTTCATTGATAAATATATACCCAAGACCAAACCCAGTGCCTCCAGGAATACAAGGAGACCGCCTGCACATGAACCATGCGGCGGTCGGGAAAGTTAACAAGAAAATTCAGGATTTCGAGACTTGGGTTTGGACAAATGATGAGCAGGACAGGAGGATGTATGACAGATCCAGGAACCAACCAAAGTCAGAGTGTAGAAGGGCTGAAAAAGAATTCCAGAGACTGATTGCAAACGCGGTCAAGTCAAACCCAAAGACTTTTTACCATAACGCAAAGTCAAAATTAAAAATGTGAGTAGGCCTATCGGACCTGAGGCTTGAAGATGGTAGTTATGCAGATTCTGACAGGATAAGGCAGAGGCATTGAACAAATTGTTTTTCATCAGTGTTCACAAGAGAGGGTGGGAACAAGTTTCCTGTGTTTGAGGAAAGACGGTTTGACACAGTACTGACCCACATTGTGTTCTCGGATAAAGTTATAAGAAATAAACTGTCAAAACTAAAAATTTATAAGAGTCCCAGCCCAGGTATAATACACTCCATTGATAACAGAACTGTGTAACGAGCTTGTGGAATCCCTGAAGATCCTGTTCTGCAAATGCTTGGATGAGAAAAAGGTCCTCGATGACTGAAAAATGGCTTTTGCGAGTCCTATATTCAAGAAGGGAGATCATCACTCCGCGAATACTTATAGGCCCGTGAGCCTGACCGGCATAGTGTACAAAGTATTAGAGAGCATCGTAAAAGATGCCATGATAGAACATCTGCTACGAAACAACATTGTAAAAGATTGCCAACACAGTTTTATGCCGGGACGATCTTGCTAAACACAATTACTCAAGGTACTGGATGTGTGGACTCAAATTCTAGATTTTGCCAAGGCTTTCGATATTTTACCCCATGAAAGGCTGAGAATCCAACTGTAAGGGTAAGGGATTCTGGGAAGTGTCCTAGTGTGGATTGGAGACTTTCTTCATGACTGCAAACAGTGTGTGGTGATAAATGGTATGAAATCGTCATGTGTACCTGTGACAAGAGGGGTGCCACAGGGCAGTGTATTGGGCCCGTTGTTGTTTGTTTGTTTCATTAATGACATACCAGAAGCTATACACTCCTCCATACAATTGCTTGCAGATGATGCCAAGTTATTTAGGGAAATTAAGAACCAAACAAACTGTGAAGAGCTGCAGAAAGATCTCTGTGAGCTTCAAGAATGGTTGAGGAAATGGCTGCTAAAATTCAATGTCAAGAAGTGTAAAAAGATGCACCTGGGTCACACTAATAGTAAGGAGGCGTATCACATGTCCTAACAGGACGAAGGGACTGCAATGAGACCGAGTGTGAAAAGGACCTGGGTGTGTATGTTGACAATGAACTTAAGTTCTCAGACCATTGTGAGACGAAGGTGAATCATTCAACGAAACTAGTAGGTCTTATGAGAAGGTCGTTTAGATATCTGGATGGTCCATCGCTCGTCACTATCTTCAAGAGTGAGTTGCTTCCCCGTCTGGTCCCCGAGGTATGCTAGAGACTGTCAATTGATTGAAAATGTCCAAAGGAGGGTCACAAGACTGGTGCCTGCTCTATGGAACCTCAGTTACTTAGGGAGATTGGAGAGCTTGCAGCTACCTAGCTTATACTACAGACGGGCGAGGGGCGACCTAATCGAAGTGTATAAACATCTCAGGGGGCACTACTCAGTCGAATGTACAATGAAAGACAAAAGTCGTGTCGTGAAATTTGGTGAAAACATATGCCGAAGGGCTAAACCTTTGGTGCACTCTGCCCTGTGGTAGGGGCTCTCATAATGTTTCAGGAGTTATATTTAATCTTCGGGCAAAACCGCAACACGACTTTTGTCTTTTGATTGTACACACCTGGAACAATATGCCAGAGAGTGTTGTGATGGCATCAAGTGTGAGCTCTTCTAAGGCTGGACTTGACCAACACTGGAGCAGGTTTCAATAATATTCAGGAGCCAGTGTATGCCCAGTACAGTACTTGCCAACAGTGCATAACAGAGAACGTGACCAACCGCCCAAGCGGCTAACAAGCCGATCAGTGGCGAAGAGGTATAAAAGTAAATCACTCGCCTTGAGTTTGGACTACTATAATCTAGGAAACAGTTGATCAGACCTAAGGTGAGTTATAATTTGCTAAACAAATTTGAATGCTGTAATAGAATTAATGTTAAAGTGGGAAAAGCATTGTCTAAAGAATTTTTTGTTGCATGTTTTAGGGCTGCAATCCTATACCTTATAGTTTTCATTGAAATACCTTAACCGATTTAACACATTACGATTTTGCATGACAATTCTCATTCCCACTCTTGTTAAATCGGGGGTCTACTGTAATACTGTACGTTATATAATTACACAGTAACAAAATATTTAGTCACAATACAAAATACCCTATACTGTACTATATGCTGTAAAAATGTTTTGTCAAATGATGGAACATGGTGGTACACATATTGTTGTTCAATATTTCTGGGCTTACACCACAAGCTAAAAGGGTTACTGTATAAAGAAAAATAGGAGTAATTTAGAGAGCTGTGAAATAATGAGAGCAAAGTATCAAATCACATTATACTGAGGGTTTACCGTGTTGTTAAATAATTCCCAAATTAATTATTCACTTACTTTTATATTTAAACAAAGCTGAAAATGTATATTATTCCCAAATTTAGTTGTCATTCAATCTACATAACATTTTGACATACATGAGGAAGGGTGACTATCAATTATTCATATTTACAAAGTTAATGTCTAAGTCTTTGGAGTTAAAAATACAGGTATACGTATATATATTTTATTAATACCCTCTCCTCATCTTGTTCAACAATGCCCAGTAACACCTCTTGCCATCCAGGATCAGTGGACTGAAGGAATTTGGGATCTTGAGCCATATTCTCCACAAGTGGACCTCCAACTCCACCGAGTGTACCAAGCCCATCACTCAAAAGGGCACTCCCGCTCTCCGCTCTCTTGACCTGGGTGACTTCTATGGCATCTTTTCACTCTATGCTGGAGGTGAGAAGATGGTGCTATGTTCCTTCACAATCTTTAAGTAGAGTATGTTCTCCATCTATAACAGAGAAAGAAATGGATAGAGAATAACACGAGGCCTTCATCACGATACAAGGCAAATGAGGGCTTACACCCATATTATTAAACATCTTCCCTTGAAGAGGGTCATCGTGTTACAACCCGAGTTTTAAACTAAATGAGTCCTGAGGGACACCTCAGTACTGTACTTGACGGGGTGGTGTGGCGGTAAAATTAACTAATTTGAATAAAATTAATTTGATATTGGAATTAGTTAATTTTACCGCCACGACACCCCGTTAAGTACAGTACCGCGGTGTCCCTCAGAACTCGTTTAGTTTACAACTCGGGTTGAAACACGATGACTCTCTTCAAGGGAAGATGTTGTTTAATAATACGGGCGTTATATTTTTCCTGGAATTTGCCCTTTAAGTTATCCACAACAGGTCAGACTTTATGTAACTTATCACCTTGAACTTGCTATGTATTGTCTGTATAATGTATCAAGTGTAATAATTGGATAAAATGATGTCGAGGTATTAGTCTTCCCAAAAAAGTTTTGTTCATACATTTCATCAGTCATCCACTTCTTTTTCTTTCTTTTTTCCTGGGACATTGGCTTCATTACACAACATTTCATCTTGTTGTGTCACTTCACTTAGCCAGTCTACTATGTGGAGAAAATGAGGGCACTGTTTACTTTAGAAATTCAAAGTACCAATTGATTTTGGAAACAATCAACTTCACTACACCATGATAGAAAAAATATACAGTATATATATATAAATAATCAAGTTCTTTGGATTCTTGTAATACAACGAGCATCAGCCAAGCCAGATTGCAGTTTTTTAACACAAACGGCATAGGCATGAACAGAACCTGACCAGCATTGGACACCAGGAAAACGATTACCTTTGATACCAAATTGGAGTTTTTAAGGCAGTTTGATATTGTGAGAGAACTTCCACATTACATAAATCCCTCGGTTAACGAATTGCCTTCCATGAGATTCTTCACTTCGGTTAACGAACAAACCCTCAGTTAACGAATTCCTTTCGAATTTTTCCCATGTTTTTGCCTGCATTTGGCTGCCCAACAGTTGTAGTATTAGTCTGCCAATACAGTAATCGGTTTTAGGGCTTAAATTCCTTACTAATTTAGTAAATATCAAGAAGGTTGTGCTATTCAATAATTTTAAAAGTTTTATATTAAATTTTTTAGTCATTTTAACAATTATTGAACATAATTGAAGTACAGGAAACTAGTTTTTTGCGCGCCAAACAGCCACTCAACAAACCAAGTTTGGCATCAGTTTGTTTGCCAGTTCAGAGGAAGGAACATCTTGTTTGAGACTTTTCAAAATAAATGCTTTTTTTCTGTGTTTCCAGTCAAATTATTGGTCATTTTGAAATATATTTTACATATTGATATATAGCACAGTGCAGTGTTGATTTAAAGAAAATAATCTTGAATTTCACCAAGTGAACTAAAATTTTATGGGTGAAATAGCGGCATGGGGTGACTTCTCTTCCACCCCAATGCCTTCTCTTCTTCCTTCTCCTCCACCCCCATTCTAATTCCCATCATCATCATCATCAACCAGGACCCTTCTACATGCACACCTCAAAGTAAGTGTACTTTACTGCATTTATTTTTAGTCCGTGTGTAATTTTCGGTGAGCTGGAACCAATTACCCAAAAACCCATTGAAACAATGGTTTCGGTTAACGAATTTTTCGGTTAACGAGCAACCTTTTGGAACGAATTGTGCTCGTTAACCGAGGGACCACTGTAATGTTATTCTAGGCTTACCTCCCACCATGGTCAGTCTTGTCTGGGATAATGCCGAGAAGATTAGGGCCAGTGTTTGTTGTGTTACAATACACTCTTAGTGCCAAGAAAATTCATTTGTTTTCAACTCGGTTACTGGAGAGTGGAATGTCTTCTCTTAAGCTAGGTTGGATGACAAGAACCAACAAAGTGTAATTCATTTTGTCTCTGATACACGCTAAGGAACAATACTTTACAAGCAACCTTCACAACCTTCATTCATAAGTACTAAATTGTTTGTTTGACCATAATTAGTCTTTTACATCTTTATAATACCATACTATCATACAGGGCGTCCCCGACTTACGAACCCTCATCAATACGAATTGGGTTGAACTTGAAATTTACAGTACAGTGGTCCCTCGGTTAACGAGCACAATCCGTTCCAGCATGTTGCTCGTTAACCGAAAAACTCGTTAACCGAAACCATTGTTTCAATTGGTTTTTGGGTAATTGGTTCCAGCTCACCGAAAATTGCCTAAATTCAACAAAAAAGGTAGAAAAGTACACCTACTTTGAGGTGTGTATGTAGAAGGCTCCTGGATGATGATGATGATGATGATGATGATGATGATGGGAATTAGAATGGGGGTGGAGAAGGAAGAAGAGAAGGCATTGGGGTGGAAGAGAAGTCACCCCATGGCACCATTTCACCCATAAAATTTTAGTTCTCTTGGTGTATTTCAAGATTATTTTCTTTAAATCAACACTGCACTGCATTTTATATTGTGAATATGTAAAATATATTTCAAAATGACCAATAATTTGCTTGGAAACAAAAAAAGCGTTTAGTTGAAGAGAGTCTCAAGCAAGATGTTACCTCCACTGAAAACAGAGAGAGAGAGAGACTAATGCCTGTCTACCGTTTAGTGTGTTAACAGGCTGGATGGCATGCCAGAAACTAGTTTCTTTACCTTCAATTATGTTCAATAATTGTTAAAATGGCTAAAAAAGTTAATATTAAACTTTTAAAATTATTGAATAGTGTAAACTTCTTGATATTTACTAAAATAGTAAGGAATTTAAGCCCAAAAACCGATTACTGTATTGGCGGACTAATACTACAGCTAGTGGACCGCCAAATGCAAGCGAAAACATGTTGAAGTCGGCTGGTAAAAAACTCGTTAATCGAGGGATTGCTCGTTAACCGAAGTTAAGAATCTTATGGAAGGTAAATTGTTAACCGAGGCGCTCGTTAACCGAGGCGCTCGTTAACCGAGGGACCACTGTACAGTATAGTCTGCATTTATGCGGTCAATTGAACCCGCGTAAATGAAATAACAGAACAAATGGGATTAATTGAAATAGAGACTGGGCCGACCCCCAAACTCCACTTTTTCCGACACAATACGTACGTAGTAGTAAAAATAGCATCTTAATTTTATGATGGTATGCACACACAATTAATAATTAAGAGAAATATCAATAATATTAGGTTTTTTAACATTTACGTTAGTAGAAAAGGTGGGTTGGCACACGTGGATGGCGGCTGATTCCGTGGCAGAGGGCAGATTAGTTGCCCTCCGGTGAATCACTTTCACTACTCGCAGAGGTTTACAGGGCCTTCCAGACAAATCTCTCAAAGTACATATCCTCACTGTCAATATCATTATTATTGACTTGGGCTGGCTGTGGTTGTGGTGGGTTGCAGGCGAGGAAGTCCTCAATACTACGTTGACGACTAGCATTGATGTTGTCGAGTTAGATCTGGATATACGGCTCCATAACTTTCGTCAGATGGTTATTAGCCACTTCATACCGATGCTTGTCCGAGTTGTTGTCAAGGATGAGCTTAAGTTTCTCCCCCAACTCGATGATTTCCTTCACATTATCATGGCTTCGTCCAGGTAATTCAATGTTTTTCACTGGTGGTGGGGGTCCCACGGAAGCCATTGTGAGTTGTGAGGGGAATAGCGGGCAAAAGAGAGAACTGTAGGTCAGCGACTTCTACCCTCTGGTGGCAGGGCACGTCATGTTACATTAGACCAATCACAGCTAGCGGCGGAGGGAATGCGTGGGTGGTATGGATGCATGGCCCAGTCACAATCCGATACGTCATATGACGTCAGCGATAACGTAAGAGCGGCCTAATGCGCACCACTCACCGCTTCCCGTGTATGGTCAAGAATGGACCGCGTGGGTAAAAAATGGCGCGGCGGTCTGGACCTCTCCAGCCGCTCGCCGCGTAAATTACCAAATTTACCGCATAATTAAAGCATTTTCATTCTGGCAAGGCACCACGTAAATGACCAAACGCGTAAACAAAAACCGCGTAAATGCAGACTATACTGTATTTTATTTACCTGATGACTTATTATTTACCTTTATTTACTGTATTTCGTAATTTTATTTCTTCTTTTGTCTTAAATTAAGTGATCTTACATGTACATTATACAAGGACTTAGGCTATGATATAGTGGGATTTTCAACATTGTTCTGTGAGTACGTTATACACATAGCATGTGTTTTTACTTTTTTACAAATTCGACTTAAGAACGTCCTCAGGAACGGAACCTGTTCATAACTCAGGGACCCCCTGTACCAAATTATGGAGAAAAATAAATAAATAAAATAAATCCAGGAACTTAACCTCCTTATTTGCATTATTACTCATGGAAAAAATGTATTGGTTTTGCGTAATTTCGTTATACAGTTAAACTTTTCAGGAATGTGCATATGTAAGTGGGGAAACCCCGTGCTGTACACCAATTACCCCATTAACATCGCTTCAGTCAACGTTGTTTCGTTATAACATTGTTGAAAAACGTACAAAAATTATAAATTTACGGCAATTTTAAAACATTTGGTATGAAGGCACTCGGTGCCTGGGCACCATATTTGGTTGTTATTGTTTGATGGTTGGTTGATGCTCTTCCACCATTCACTCAAATCCAGTGATGAATTAATTTGAGCCCTAGAACAATGATTGCTAAACATGCATTATGTACCACTACTAGTTGTGGTCAAAGAAAGAAGAGGAAAAGTGTTACATTAGAAGTTAAATTAGATGTGGTAAAGAGATTTGAAGGACAATGATCTGTGGACATAGCAAGCACTGTTGGTTTGCAGCTTACGACTGTCGGTATGAACAATTTGTGGCAATGCAGAAAATATCGAATCATGTGCTTAAAGTGTTACTCCATTATCTGCTACAAAGTTAACTCATAAAAGAAAGTAGCATTATGGGAAATTTGGAAAGAATGCTGAACATGTGGATCGAGGATCAACATCAACAAAACTTTCCTTATTCGTTGCTCTCCATACAGGCAAAAGCTTTAAGTTTATTTGAAACTTTGAAACAAGGTGATAGTGAAACATTTTTTGCAAGTTGTAAGAAAATTTTGACCAGAAATGTACCCAAGGAACATAACCCCTATTTACATATATCATTGTGTCTATGGTAAAATTGTTTTCACTTAGTCGTGGTTTTCAAGAACCTAACAAGGATGTTAATGGGGTAATTTGTGTATTGTGTTACTCCCCATTAACTTGCACAATGTTCCCCTGCAGGACTGATGCTGGCTTGTGTAACCTTTATTATGGAATTACTTATTGGCCATAATATGCATAAGAAGGTAACACAACCACCATTCTCCTGCTCAAGTGACCTTCAGCTGCCTGCCAAGGGGACAACTGGCACAGGGTACTCCACCAGTGTCTCTAGCACTCATATGTACTAACTGAACCATAATTCACTGGCTAATCTATAAGCTATAACAACATTGGACTATAACTCATGAGGTAACCCATGAACTGTACCAACATTGGACAATAACATACTAGGCAACCTACAACATGTACCAAATCTGGACCACCACTCACTAGGTGCAGTACATCATGTATTACTCATTAGGTACCTCACTATATGTACCAACACTGGACCATAACTCAAGGTGACCCATCAGTTGCACCAACACTGGACCATAACTCAAGGTGACCCATCAGTTGCACCAACACTGAACCATAACTCAAGGTGACCCATCAGTTGCACCAACACTGGACCATAACTCAAGGTGACCCATCAGTTGCACCAACACTGGACCATAACATACTAGGCAGCCTAAAACATGAGTAAGACTGAACTTCAACCTATAAATGTCTGTATACTGCAAAATAAATGTACAGTATGTGTGTATAGTGAAACATGTGTTGAACCTAATATTTTGTTTAAGTTAAAACCTTATACTATTTCAGTAGATGAAGCAGATCAATTATCAAATTTGTAGAAGGATGCAATGAAAGATCTACAACTTATCTTAATAAAAAAAATATACAGTATATCACTACTGAAGATCTGTCTTTCTTTAAGGATAAAATCTTGTTCTCATATTTTTAAGTAATACATCTTGCAAGACTTTGATTTAAAACATAAAACTTAAAAACAAAATACTTCAAAATACACCTTGCATATCATGATTAACCATTCTGTTTATACCGACATTGGAAGACTGTGAGTAATCTAGAGTTACTTGTTCGTTTCTCTTCACTATGTAACAACTACTTCCTTGACAAGTATCCATACTCTTCTGTATCCCAACTTTTGATTACAGACAGCAGTATAAATGTAAATGGCCTCACCACGCTGAAAACAACGCTTCTCCTCCTATCAGCGAAGCTAAGCAACATTGGGTCTGGTTAGTACAGTACAGTACAGTACTGTACTTGGATGGGTGACCGCCTGGAAACACCGGATGGTGTTGCCATTTAAAGTAAAAAGACCCTACAGTAAATAAGCATCTGATGGTTTTGTCGGTTATTCTTGATGAAATTCCTTAAATATAAAAATTACTCATAAGATTATGATTGATCTAAAATACAGCAATTACCCACAGGAATAGTGTTCCACCCCTCGGTGGCCTTTCCGAACAAGTGACAATATCAGAATCGCTCTCTGAATGAATCGGCAACATGAGGAGAGCAGTTGCCAACAATATATATATATTTTTTTAATACTGTATTTAATACCTTAAAAGTACTGTATGCCCAGTACTTGCCAACAGTGCATAACAGAAGCATGATCGACTGCCCAAGCAGCTAATGAGCCAATCAGTGGTGAAGAGGATAAAGGTCAAATTAAATAATCACTACCACACCCCACCTTAGTACTCACCCCAACACACGCGGAAAAAAAAACTATCAGTGGTAACAGGACTAGTGGGACATCAGTGTTGTGGTAGCAGGACTAGTGGGACATCAGTGTTGTGGTAGCAGGACTAGTGGGACATCTGTGTTGTGGTAACAGGATTAGTGGGACATCAGTGTTGTGGTAGCAGGACTAGTGGGACATCAGAGTGTTGTGGTAACAGGACTAGTGGGACATCAGTGTTGTGGTAACATGACTAGTGGGACATCAGAGTGTTGTGGTAACAGGACTAGTGGGACATCAGAGTGTTGTGGTAACAGGACTAGTGGGACATCAGTGTTGTGGTAACAGGACTAGTGGGACATCAGAGTGTTGTGGTAACAGGACTAGTGGGACATCAGAGTGTTGTGGTAACAGGACTAGTGGGACATCAGTGTTGTGGTAACAGGACTAGTGGGACATCAGTGTTGTGGTAACAGGACTAGTGGGTAAGGTACTGTACATCCTTTTGAGCAGCATACTCAAAAACATTTACTGGACGGCATCTCTTTGTTTACCCCATAACTGGACTTCGTTTCCGATCGGTATATTCAAAACAAATATTTGGCAGCGGACTCCGTGAGTGAGTTCATAATCTAACCGGTAACTTACAGCACCTAAGGTGGCGCTGTAACACGATCAACCCGGATATAGTAGTCGCTATTTCTCGATTGCATAAGAAAAATTAATAATATATGTTGTAATAATGCTTGTTAGACTTATTTTATCAAAGCATAATGAAGAAAATGTTTTGTACATCAACATACTAAGATACGATAGTACAGTTTGTCTTTTTAGTTAATTTTTTTTTTACGATAAGAGGAAGCTCCAGTGTTTCTATTTGTCGCGGGATGGAAGAGACGCAGCTTTTACTTTTACTTTTTACTTTTATCCTCTTCACCAAAAGATCGGCTCGCTAGCCGCCCGGGCGATCGGTCACGTCTCTGTCACGCGCTGTTGGCAAATACTGGGCATGCACCGGCTCCTGAATGTACCTGAACCCGCTCCAGTGTTGGTCAAGTCTTCTCTTGAAAGAGCTCACACTCGGTGCCGTCACAACACTCTCTGGTAGATTGTTCCAAGAGTTTACAACCCTCATTCCGAAAAAGTTTGCCCTCACGGTTTTCTGGACTTGCGGCTTCTTCAATCTTGAGCTGTGACCCCTTGTGGGGCGAGCGTCCGCCAGCTCCAAGTAAGGACACTCAACTGAGTAGTGCCCCCTGAGATGCTTATAACCTCAACTAGGTCCCCCCTTGCCCGTCTGTAGTATAAGCTAGGCAAGTTCAGGCGCTCCAATCTCTCAGGGTAGCTGAGGTGCCGAAGTGCAGGCACCAGTTTGGTGGCCCTCCTTTGAACATTTTCAACCAACTGACAGTCCCTAGCATATCTCGGGGACCAGATGGGGTGACAGTACTCCAGATGGGGAAGCACTTCACTCCTGAAGATCGTCACGAGGGACGGACCGTCTAGATATCTGAACGACCTTCTTATAAGACCCAATAATTTATTTGCCTGATTTACCTTCTTCTCACAATGGCCCGAGAACTTCAGCTCATTGTCAACATACACACCTAGGTCCTTCTCACACACAGTCTCAACTAGTACATTTTCTTCATCCCGTTGGGACATATGGTACGCCTCCTTACCGTTGGTACGCCCCAGGTGCATCCTCTTACACTTCGTGACATTGAATCTCAGCAGCCATTCCTTCGACCATTCCTGGAGCCCACAGAGGTCCTTCTGCAGCTCTTCACAGTCCGCTTGGTTCTTAATTTCCCGAAATAACTTGCCATCATCGGCAAACATTTGTATGGAGGAGTGTACAACGTCAGGCATATCATTTATGAAACAAACAAACAACAGCGGGCCCAATACACTACCCTGCGGTACCCCACTTGTTACAGGTACAGATGACGATTTCGTGCCATTAATCACCACACATTGCTTGCGGTCATGTAGAAAGTCTTCTATCCACGCTAGGACATTTCCCCGAATTCCGTACCCTTCCAGTTTGATTTTCAGCCTTTCGTGGGGTACACTGTCGAAAGCCTTGGCAAAATCTAGGTAAATATTGTCGATATTACCACCCCGTTCTAGAATATGGGTCCAAATATCCAATACCTTGAGCAATTGTGTCAAGCAAGAGCGCCCCGGCATAAAACCGTGTTGGCAATCTTTTACAAGGTTGTTTCGTAGTAGATGTTCCATCGCTGCATCTCTGATAATACTCTCAAGTACTTTACATATTATGCTGGTCAGGCTCACCGGTCTATAGTTGTTCGTGGAGTGACTATCGCCCTTCTTGAAGATAGGACTCACATAAGCCACTTTCCATTCACTGGGGACCATTTGTTCATCCAGGCATTTACAAAACAGAATCTTCAGGGGCTCTGCAAGCTCGTTGCACAGCTCTCTTAGCACTCTAGGATGCACCATGTCAGGTCCAGGACTCTTATGGACCTTTAGCCTGGACAGTTTATTTCTAATACCCTCTTCTGTGAACACAATGTGGGTCAGTGCTGTGTCGAACCGTCTGTCCTCAAACGCAGGAAGGTTAGTTGCATCCTCTCTTGTGAACACTGAGGAAAAGAAGCTGTTCAATGCCTCAGCTTTATCCTGGTCAGAATCTGCGTAACTACCATCTTCAAGCCTCAGGTCTGATACTCCTACTCGCGTTTTCAATTTCGACTTTGCATAGCGGTAAAACGCCTTTGGGTTTGACTTGACCTCGCGTGCAACCAGCCTTTGGAACTCCTTTTCAGCCCTCCTACACTCTATCTTTGCTTGGTTTCTGGCTCTTGCATACATCCTCCTGTCTTGCTCATCGTTTGACCCAACCCACGTCTTGAATTTCTGGGTTTTCTTCTTAATTTTGTCGACCGCCGCATGGTTCATGTGTAGGGATCCCCTCGTATTCCTAGAAGCACTGGGTTTGGTCTTGGGTATATATTTATCGATCAAATGGGTCATTTTACTAGTTATGATATTCAGCGTAGTGTCTGCGTTCTTGTACCTTAATAAGTCAGGCCAGTTGATACCCCTCATCTCTTCCCTCATCCCATTGTAATTTCCCTTGTAATATTTGCACCTTGGCCTGGCCTTATCTTGAACTAGGTAACAGTTAAATCTGAATGACAACACTGTATGGTGACTGGTGCCAACTGGGGCAAGGTGTTCCAGTTTGGCCACCATACCCTCCTCGTTTGTTATGATGAGGTCAAGTGGCTTGGGTGTTTGCTCCCCTCTGTAATGTGTCGGGTCTCTCACATGTTGGAACAGAAAATTATCTCTCAGAGTTTCTACAAAAAGAGTAGCAGGATTATTCAAGTCATTCGGGGTGGACTCGTTTCTCCAGTCGATGTCGCCATAGTTAAAGTCCCCCATGATAAGGAGGTGGCTGGGGTTGAGCATCGCCGCATTGTTTATTAAGGTTCTTAAGTTCCTTTGATTTAGTGGGCCACAGTTCGGGGATCTGTAGATACACCCGACGATAAGTAAGTCCCCTCCCTTTAATTTAATTTTACACCACTTGGACTCTTCAAAAACATCCTCTCCCTGTACCCTCGCCTGGCTGGCTCTAAGGTCTTGCCTAGCGTAGATAACCACACCCCTCCTGCAGGATTCTTGAGTTAGGTTCGTAAATGAGTCATATCCAGCAATACTGAACTCACATTCCTCTGGGTCGATTCTCCTGTTCTTGTACAACAGTTCTACAACTCCTACAATATCTGGTTGGTGTACTCTTAGTAGTGTTTCAAACTCCTCTCTCTTATCAAGGAACGTGTCAGTATTAGTGTACATGACATTCAAGCCAGAATTTGTTCTCGGTAACGTCTCTGCTCTTAGTAATAAACCCGCTCCACCCACATTCTCAGAAGCTGCAGCATTTGCTAAGTACACTGTATTTTGCAGGGTGTGGTTAAAAATGTCATTGTTTACACGGCGCTCGTTCCCTCCTGTCCGGTAGGCTGAGCTGGTGCCGCCTCCCGGGTGGGGGGTCGAGTGGGTGGAGGGTGCACTGCTGCCCCCTGGCCCTG